TCGGGTTGGAGGTATGGGGTATTGGAGGTTGACGTTGAGGCTCAAAGCTCGGCGTGCGGACTCTGAACAATCTAATTGTATACTTGCATATGTAAAGCATCAACACATTCACCTCTCCAGCCCGTTCTGTCGGGTGCAGGGAACTCGTATTTGTATAAGGTTTGCCTAGAGGGACTAGATCTGCATGACGAAACATTCGTCACCCAAAAATAAACTGCGAATGTACCTGTGTCTTGGCGCGATACCCGTTGCGAGTAAGCCCGCGCTTCGGGTGCCTGACAAGTACATAAACAGCGATCTACAATCTCCCGGCTCAGAGCAGCCGACACCTGTCTCGTGCAATATAAGTTGCAAAGGATTACGACAATCCTAGTGAAATTACAATATGTATAACATAGCATGCGTCGTATCGTTCTATCTCCTCCAGCCTAGCAGCGACGCGCTGTCCCGTACGCAGTGTCCACCGTCACGAACGACCCCATCCAACTGATCTCCGCGTGCTGCCATCCTCGACGTGGCTGCGTGTGTCCCGCAGGAGAGCTTTTACGTGCGTGCCGAGGAGCTGTCGCAGCGCGGGTATATGGTATAGTAATGCGCGGGACGACACGATTTAATCGCGGGGGCCGTGGCGGATGAACTTGGGGTCGAGTTCAGTGCCGTCGTCGACACTGGCGGATGCTGGCGGGTCCGCGACGAAGACGTTGTCGCCCTTGATGTTAAGGAATGTGTACTATAAGTTGGTGTGAGATAGGTCGTGCAATGCGAACAGTGTAGAACGGGGAATAGGGTCGAGTGTAACATACCTCTGCTAGTTCTGCCCCGCTCGCCCTGTTGTAATTAACATAGACTAGGTTAGGCTCCATCATAACTGGCCGCAGACCAGCTGCTTCCAGCAGTTCCCACCAGCTCAGGAAGTCCGGAAACCTCTTGCCCCAGACGTGAAGCTCTATATGTAGCTGGCCGAAGGGTAGCAGCTTGCCACTGTCCACGTAAGGTTGCACCATAGCCCTGAGCGTGTCAAATTCATAGCCTTCGATATCAACCTTGAGGATGTCAATGAATGTGTGGCCATTCTGCTTCATAACAGTTTCGAGCGTGTGCAAGTTGTTCTCGTCGCTGCGGTCTTCTGGGCCAAGCTGAACTTGCGTTTGGAAATGTGTGCGGTGCTTCTTGGTGAAGGACGCGTGAGAGACTTGACGACCAAAGTCCTTCCGGGAGTGGTCATAGCCCCATATCGTGCAGCCTTCGGTGTTATCCAGCACGGCGGCTTCCCAAGCAGAGTCCCAGTCCATCCCTGAGTGCGTGTCAGCGCTCCGATATAGAGAAAGCGCGTAATAGACGCACCGAAGGAGTAGATGACACAGTCTGGTTTCTGTGCAATACGAGAGATGCCACAGGTCCATTTTCCGCCGTCTCCGAGGCTACCAATACGCTCAAGTTCGTGGGGGCAGTTGAACGCGGGCGGGAAGAAGTCCCCTGGCGCGAGCGATGAGCGTGTTTTGCACCGTTGTCACCAGAACGCTCACTTACAGACAGTGTATGCGGGCCATGGATTTTGGTCAGGAGGAAACCTAGATGATGCTGAGCTGGCACACTTGAGCGCGAAAGTCTGCGCACATACATCATGACCTGCGACGGTGAAGGCCCATGTTTCTTGATCATATCCTGCCGTTGCGCCACCACCTTCTTGTACGACTTCTCCGCCCTCTCTACTCTCGCAGGCAAGCTTGGGTCGCCAGGGAAGCCAATGACGTTGGCAGTATAATCGTGTGTCGGATACGGCGCGCTCAAATAGAGAAAAGAGCCCACAGCAAGAACAAGGAACAGCACAACATATTTCGGATGTCGCTGGAGGGAATAAAGCATTACGAGCGGGGCAGCGCTGTCGACAGCTCGGTCGTTGGGGACGTCAGGGGCGTCGGGAGCGTCGTCGTGGAGGTTGTCCTGCAAAGTCTAGCGAGAGTTGCGCGCCTTGGGCGCGAGATCATTCGAGGCGGTTGTATTACTTACTGTAGCCGCTCATGAAACGGACCACCCTAGCACTAATTCGGCGATAGCTACAGTTAGACACTTTAGTAAACAAAAGTTTTATGCTGAAAGGATAGGCAGATATGTAAGGTATATGGGAATCCATATTTTGTATTTTTACCAGTGCTGCACGCCAAGTTATGGATATTTTTAACAGCGAAATCGTGCTGACCAGCTAGACCACGAAGCGGACCACTGGCCGTAGATTAAGCGCCCTCCCGCTGTCGAAGGGTGCGGGTCATCGAGCGAGGCGGTCGCGAGCGGTGTATGGCCAGCAGTAGTCACTTTCTATAGCTTGTAGAGACTCAAGAATGATTATATTCACTAATGAAGGGGTACATAGGTTGTGATTATCATCTATATGCACGACAGGCCCTAGTGCATTGTGCACAGAAGCTTGTGCACCAATGTGTGGAAATCTTCGACCAGAAGAGATGAGGGGGAGAAATGATGTTGAAATGAGCTCGAGGTGATCACAATTCACATGTTCATGGCTGAAGCTGCGTCTACCAGTTATCAGTACTCAACCGGTGTTCAGGTATTGTGTACTCACCTAATAGCCATGCAACCTCCTCTGCCTGTATCCCTCTCCTTTCGTCCCTACAGCCATAAACTAACTTATTCCTCATTA